GGGGGCTGGGGAAACCCAACAGAGCAACCAGCTCTTCTCCACCCATCTTCACCAGCAAAGCTCTCCAGCTGCCTGACTGGAGGGGCAAAGATCATGGGGAGCAAGATGCTTTGTCTCCAGGACAAGCATGGAGGAGTCATCCCATCCACCCTTCTCACCAAAACCTTCTCTGCTGGCACTTAACTACCACGAAGGGTGTGGAGATGTCCCACAGCCAGAGGACATGAGCTGTAGGGCATCTCCATGGTGTCCTGCAGTGGTTTGGTGGGGCAGGAGGTGGCTTGATAAGTCAAAGTGCTGCAGCTACCCTGAGAGGACCTCAAGGTAGTTAGCAAGAGGCAGCAAGACACCACCAGCAGCTTCAAAAGCTGTCCCAGTCCTGCAGGAGGCTGGAGAGGGCCTGGCTGGGTCTGTGCTGAGGGTACCAATCCAGAGGATGCTGTGTCCTTCACATGTGCTGGGAGATCTTTTTTAACACCAGCAGGCAGATCTCCAGAGGGTGGGATGGTTTGCTGGTGGGTGGAAGAGTGCTGAGCTGCTGCAGCCCCATGGCCAAGGTTGGGTTGGAACATTCTCCTTGGGAAGCTCTTGCTGCTGAAGGAGCATCTGAAGGGCAAAGCCCAAGTTCTTAGATCCCTTGTGTTGGTGGAAAGTGCCCTGAGGGCAGGACTGTGGCCCTGGGGGATGAATTTCTAGCCACAAAGAGTTGAAATTCACTTGGGATGGAAGCAAAGCTGCCTTGGTTTTGGGGAGCAACCTCCAGAAACACTCCTGTGCTTGTAGGAGAGCTGAGGGGCTTTGGAGGAGGAAGGAGCAAATGAAAAGCAACAAGTGCTTGGAATTGGTCTTGGCTTTGGTGTGGAGAGGAAAATGAGCTGGAGATGGACTTGGGAGAGGGGCAGGGAGGGATTGGACAAGGGGGAATGGTTTTAGGAAGGAATTCTGGGCTGTGAGGGTGGTGAGAGCCTGGCCCAGGTTGCCCAGGGAAGCTGTGGCTGCCCCATCCCTGGCAGTGTTGAAGGGCAGGTTGGATGGGGCTTGGAGCAACCTGGGCTGGTGGGAGGTGTCCCTGCCCAGATGGCTGGATCTGCATGGTCTTTGATGTCCCTTCCAACCCAAACCATCCTGTGACTCTGTGATGAGAAGCTCTTTCTTCTCTTCCCTCCTCTCAGTTAGTGGCTGAGGGCACATGGAAGATTTGCCCTCAACTCCTACCATGGGCTTTAGGGCTTGGTGGGCTTTCATTCCTCCCTTTGCTGGCAGGGGCACCATGTGCTGCCCTTCCTCTGGCTGCACGTGGAGGGACCTGGCTCCATCTCCAGCCCTGATGGTGCTTGGTACCCCCCAGCCCCACCACCTCCTCCCCCCCACCCCCTTCTCCCTGACCATTATCAGCCCAAATTCTTGGCAGCCTGAAGTTTTCCATCACTGAGGCTTTTGAAGGAGCTTCTCTCCCTCCTGAGCTGGCTTGTTCTGGTTGGAGAAGACCTCCCCCTTGGCCAGCAGCAGGTCCTGCTTTGGGGCTTTGCATTCCCAGCTGTTTTTCTTGCATTTCTTGGCAGGATGGATGGAGCTGGGAGCCTTGGGGAGGACAGGGCTGAGCTGGTACCACCAGGAGCTTGTGCTGGGGTGGGGGGGGCCTGGGATCTGTGGGGCCAGGAGGGGAAAACCTGTGGTTGGAGCTTCTGGGCTGAGCCACCCCAGACAGTTTCCAGAAGTTGTTTTTCACCTTCTCTGTGCCACTGGGCACCAGGAAGTGCTGCTGTTGGGAGGAAGCTGAGCTCTGTGAGCTCAGATGCCACAGCAAAGAAGGATCTGGGGTGGGTTTCAGAGCTTTCAGGAGTTGTTTATTTGGGGTTTGTTTGTTTTTTTTAATAGGTGCTGCCCTGTCATCCAGCCCTAGAGCCTCCCCTGACCTGCTGCTGGTCCATGCCTGGTGGAGAAGAGATCCAGGAGTAGGTAGGGCTCTGATTTGAGACCCTGAGGATCCTTGCTTGCCCTCAGTTGTGCTTCCATGGGTTTGGGTTGGAAGGGGACATGAAAGATCCTCTAGTTCAAACCCCTCTGCCACGGGCTGGGACACCACCTCCTGTCTGTCCTTCCCCTCCAGCATTGCCTTTCCCTGCTGGAAGTTGGGTGGGGAAAAATCATGCCTTGGAGCTGCTTGCACCAGGAGGTGCCACCAGCACCACCTGCCTTGCTGGTGTGGACTGGTTGCTCCCCAGTTTTCCTTCCCCAACTCCATTTCAAATGCTGTTTATGGGTTTTGGGGTAAAGAGATGGGGCTGTGTGTGTGTTTGTTTTTTTTTCCTGGTCTCTATTTAACCCTGGTCTTTATCTCAAGGAGTTAGCAGACCATGATGTCTCAGCCAATCTCACCCCACCCACTCTGCTCCCAACTGTCCCCTCTGGATTTCACCCTAAGGTGAAGTTTGAAGGTTCAAGCCTTGCTGATTATCTGCCCTCCCTCTGCATTCAGAAACATCTCAGGTTTGTCCCCAGGGATTTGTCAGCTTCCCAGCAAGGCTCCCACCCTGGGATGCACCCCCATCCTCTCATCTCCTGGGTGTCCAAGTGTTGCTCCATCCAGGATGGACTGAGGTGCAGCCAAGATGCTGCTTCTGGGTGAGAAAACACCTTGTCATCCTCCTTCATTATGAGGGGCTTTCTTGCTGCCCTTTCAGACTGTAGGGGGGGGGGATTTTTCCAGCTGGTTTTCCACACAGTCACATCTCCCCAGGCTTTTGGCTTCCCCAGGTAGTTACATCCATATGGGACAGGAGGACCTTGGTGAGAGTTGTCAGTGAAGAGCTCCAGGGATTGATGGAAAAACAAAATGACTTGACTCTGGGCTTTAAAAAAACCATCTTTGTGGCTTGATTGATGGGGAGAAAAATCACCTTCCTGTCCCTTCCTGGCTTTGTGTGGTGCTCACCAAGCAGGGCTTGACCTTTGGGCTTCTTAGGAAGAAATTCTTTGCTGTTAGGGTGGTGAGAGCCTGGCCCAGGTTGCCCAGAGAAGCTGTGGCTGCCCCATCCCTGGCAGTGTTGAAGGGCAGGTTGGATGTCGCTTGGAGCAGCCTGGGCTGCTGGGAGGTGTCCCTGGCCGTGCAGGGGGTGGGAACTGGATGATCTTGAAGGTCCCTTCCAACCCAAACCAGTCTGGGCTTCTGTGATTGCTAAAATGGGTGACAGCTTTGTCACTTGAGCTGTTTCTGTGATGACAGATTGTGCCTGGGGAGCCTTGGAGGGCTCAAACCCTCCAGCTAAGGAGGGGAGAAAAGAAACCCCAACCCCAAAAACACCCTCCAAGAGCCTGCCTAGTGTTGTCTGCAGGAGACACTAGGGTTTTGGGAGAAGCAGTTGCAGGTCTCAGATGCTGCTGGAAAACATGGGATCTCACACAGAGCCTGGACTGGGTGGGAAACACCCCCCTGCCCACCTAGACTGAGCTGGGTGGGTGGGGAGCCCTGCTAGCTCAGGAGAACATCTTTCCTCCTTGCTTCTCCTTGCTGCAGCTCCAAGCCCCTTGTCCCACCAAGCCCAGTCTTGACTCAAAGCCTGGTTTGTCTGCGTTTCCAGCCTGCCAAGCCCTCTCCTTTTGGAGTGTTCCCAGCAGGACCTCAAGCCACTTTGCCCTCAAAGGGAAAAGTCTTTGCACACCAGTTTTCCCTTCCCTTTTCTGGCTGGAGCCTGGTGCATCCCTTCCAGCTACCAGAGCATTCCTGGCATACCAGCCCAGGGGATGGCTTGGAAATAATTTCAGGCAGGCTGGAATATCTCCTGCTTGGAGCTCTTCCCTTGCACATTTCCTCTCACTGCATTCCAGAGAAGGGAATTGCACAGGGTTTTCTCTCTCAGAGCTGTCAGCACTTTGCAGCTAGGCTGGAATATTTTTTTTCCTGGCAGGATGGAGGGAATGTTGGCTGGTGGGATTGCCTGGGGTGATGCCAAGTGTCTCATGGACCTGCTCCCTGGTGCTAACCTGGAGGAGCAAACCCTCAGGCTCTGCATTCTGGCTGTGCCTCCAGAGAGACACTGGGATTGTCCACATGCTCCTGGCCTTCCTGGCCACCCTCCAAGCTCCGGGGGACACAGGTGACACCACAGGAGTTCTCACCAGAGCCTGCAGCAGTCCCAGTGGTGGTGGTGGTGGAAGGGCCTGTGTGCTCTGCAGGCAGGGGGGTTTGTTTTCCTCTTAGTTTAATGGCTTCATTTTCCTCTGGGCTCTTGACATGCTCTCCCAGGAGGCTTCAGGAAGTGTTTCTGGGGAGAAAAAAAGGGGAAAACCCCCCCCCCACCTTTTCTTTTTCTTTTCCCCCAAGTGAAGCAGGGCAGTTGGTGTGAGAAGGGATGTTCCTCTGCCTGGGTCCCTGCCCGGGATGCAGGGAGCAGGTGGGAAGATCCAGTCCCCATCCCAGGAGATCCCAGTGCTATGGGAGGAGGGAGTGCTGACCCAGCTGAAGGTGCACAAAAAAGCCTGGATCCCCTGTGCCCTCCATGCTCACCAACCAGTGCCCTGGGCTCCCAGAGCACCTGAGCTGTGGTTTTATAGTTACTGATCCCAGCAACGAACGCTTTGGAAGCTCTTAGGAAACGAGGAGGAGCTCAGGGGCAACGTGACCTCCAAATGACTCTGGGAAGCAAGAGGGCTTTGCTTTGCTTTGCAAGGGGCAGCCTGGGGTGAGAGGGTGGTTTGGAGGCAGTGCCCACCCAGACCACCTTCCATGGTGCATCTTCAAGGAGAAGGTTCTGCTGCGCCTGGGGAGGGCGTTGGGCAGGCAGGTGGGAACAGGCGCCTTTGCTAACCTGCTGGGGGTTTGTTTCTCTTTCCCCTGCAGGCTTGGCTTCCCTGAGGTGACCCTGGGGGTCCTGCATAGCTGGTTTCAGTGGTGGAGAAGCCATGGTGGCCTAGGAAGGAGATGGCAGCACA